CACCTGGACACAATACCAAAAGAGAAATACCAGAATTAACTGAAATGCTACATCAATGAATATAATGGATACTAAGCACTACTCTATCCAAATGTCAAACAATGTACAAGTACTCACCAGCACATGGATATTATAAACTGGACCACATCTTGGGACATATAAAGTCTTTACAAATTAAAAAATACTAGACTCTCTCCTTGCATCCTATTAGACCATAGTACAATCACACACACACACACACACACACACACACACACACACACACACACACTATATATATATATATATATATATATATATATATATATATAATAGAATTTCATTCTTTTCTATTTCTGAATAGGGTTCTAGTGTGCATACTTCTTTTACTTCTTTTGACCCCATACATGTAACCTAATCACTCTCGGTTTCCATTCCTGTAAGTTCTGCTCTCCCACCCTTATGCCTTCCCCCACAAAAAAAAGAAAGTAAGTAAGAAAGAAAAAATACACCTCGTCCATTTCATGTTGTCCAAATGCTCATTGGAGCACGGTCAAACTCCCAGTGGCCATCCCTTTAAAGATAACTGAGTTCTGCTCCCCTACCACTCCAGAAGGAGTCAATTGTGAAGTCTACACTTCATCATCTCTATCACATTTTTTAAAGTACTCTCTTTATTGGCTTCCTTTCTAAACTTTTCTTTCTTTTGCAAGGTGGGGGTAGGGAGAAGTTTTCACAGAAGCCTTCAAAGTCTCTCATTCTCAATTATGAGTCAGCAGTCATAGATACCACTGCAAAAGAAGCTTCCTTGCCCATAACAACCAGTGGCAGCACAGACCACAGACTTCTACATGGTTTTCGGCAGCAGCACAGACCACAGATATTATGTTAAATGAAATAGGCCATCACAGAAAGTCAATACTGCATGATTTCTTTTATATGTAGAATAGAAAGTTGATCTCACTGAAACTGAAAATAGCATAGTAGTTGCCCATAACAACCAGTGGCAGCACAGATCACAGACTTCTACATGGTTTTCGGCAGCAGCACAGACTACAGATATTATGTTAAATGAAATAGGCCATCACAGAAAGTCAATACTGAATGATTTCTTTTATATGTAGAATATTAAGTTGATCTCACTGAAACTGAAAATAGCATAGTAGTTACCAGAGTCCTGGGAGAGCAGAAGGAGAAAGAGATGATGAGGAAGACAGATGAATGGGTGTGGGGACTAAGACTGTATGATGACTAAAGATGTCAACAATGTGCTATATATTTCAAAAGTACAGAAGAAAGGATTTGAAATGTTTTTTCCATAAAGAGATGACAAATGTTTGAAGAGATACATTTATATTTAATGTGAATGACACAATATATACATGTATCCTATAACATTTGTTTCTATATGTGAGTAAAAACATATAATTAAAAAAGTAAATAAGTAAAATACTGTTCAGTTTCAATCCAATACCCCCCCAATTAAACCTTCCAGTAAACATACAAACTCATGGGTATTAAACAATTCATTACTAAATGATGAAGGCATCAAAAAAGAAATTAAGAAACAAATGAAAAAAAAATCCCTGAACTAAATGAAAAAAAATATAACAAAGTGTTTTGTGACACACTAGCAAGCAGAGAAAAGAGAAATTTACACCTCTACATACCTTCATTAAAGAAAAAAAACCCATATAAATGGCTTACTGATGCAACTCAAAACTTTGTGAAGAACAAGCAAAGTCCACAAGCAGTTGATGACAAAAAATAATAAAATCCAGAGCAGAAATCAGTGAAACAGAAACAAAGCAAACAATCAAATAGTTAGTGAATCTAAAAGCTGTTTTTTTCTGAAGATTAACATATTGACAGATCTTTAGAACAAGTCAACCACAGATAGAAAGAGATAAGCATCAAGATAAGAGATTAGCATCAAAAGTGAACAGGAATACATTACAACAGACATCAAACTATTATAATGCATTATTTTTAAAATTTGTACTCTACTAAGTTGAAAAACATAGAAAAAAGACATAAATTTCTAGATTAAGCCAAACTGTAAAAAATAACCAAGAAGTCAACAATCTAAGCAACCACGAAAAACAAGGAATTTGAAATATTAATGAAATACCTCTAAGATTAAAAATTAAATCTAGAACCAGATGTATTGAAAGCAGAATTCTACCAGACATTTAAGAAGATCTACAGCTAGTCTTTCTTAATCAATTGAAGAAAGTGAAGAGAATGAGGAGCACCCAAAACTCTTTCTTTGAAACCACTATTGTACTAATACCCAAGCCAAGCAAAGATACAACAAAAATATCAAAGTACAAGACAATATCACTGATGAACAGAGACTCAAGATATTCAATGAAATACTACTTGACAACAGAATACAGGCATACATTCAAAAAAGAATGGAGTATATACCACCTCTATATTGACATTATCTCTGAAAAGCTGTAATGGTTCAAAACACACAAATTAGTCAATGTAATAAAATACACAAATGGACTTAAAGACAAACTCACATGATCATCTCATAGATACAGATAAGGTCTTTGACAAAATCCAGCATGTCCTCATATAAATAATCATCATGGCACAGTAATCCATAGGTGCAGTAATGTCACACACACACACATATCTTAATGGTACACAACAGCTGTCTCATTGGACTGAAGATACACCCCCACAATAATGATCCCATGTCTGGTGTTGGACACCTAGCTAATTTATAAAGTGTGAATGAAGTCATGGTTATTAACTGGCAGTCTTCAACCTCTATTTTATGAAAACAGCATAATCCCTAACAACAAGCTATAAATAATTGTACTTATACCCACAGATAACTGTAGTCTTCACCCTACATCAAGAAAACTTCTCTTTCCACACATAGAGAACACTAAATTATAGTACCACCAACCAAACTGCAGTTAGGGATCCCAGTCTCAAGGAATACATCTACAAAACACTCATGCACCTTAGCCTCTGGGAACACTGCAGAAGAGAAGGCAGAATGAATGTAAAAGCCAAGGATTGAGGAATCTTCTGGAAGATTGTGTCTCTTGCTGATATCAGAAGTTATACACATAAACTCTCATCAACCTGAACAAGGAGGAGCTACTGGGCCCCCAGGCTGATAGTTGGGAAACCAGCATTGGAATAACCCTGAACATGGGTCTCAGAAGGCCTGGGCAGAGGAACCAGGATGTACTCATGGTGCACAAAAGGACTTTTGGAGCACATTCCCCATGGAGGGATACTCCCTTATCCTAGAGGCATGAGGGACGGCCTAGTTCCTACTCCAAATGTCTTGACAGATTTTGTTGACCCCTCCTGGAAGGCATCACCCTCCCTGTGAAATACAGGGGTGGGTGGGAATGGGATGGAAAGGTAGTGGGGGGGATGAGAGGCAGGGAGGCAGGAAGGGAGAGGGAACTTGTATTTATATGTAAAATAAGAAAAAAGTTTATATATAGCAAAACAAATAAATAAACTCTAGTGTACATGACCATCGAATTGTGAGCTGAACAAGGATGGTACAATTGAACATGCCAGAATGGACCGGAGCATCCCATGAGACCTGAACCCTGAACAGAGAAGTGCAGACAACTGAGGAAAGCTGGGAATGAGAGGGGGTGGGCTTACCCAGGGAAGAACACACCAATTGGCAGTCCAGCACCAAATGGTCACCCTTGAAAACATTATACCCATACAGTTACATGGACTGCATAGGCTGTATTTAGGAATATATATGTATTCACATATACTTGTACCCATGCAATAACAATTAATCTTTTTTTAAAAAATCAGCCATGGATTGAAGGAAGTTGGAAAGGGGTACACGGGAGAGTTTTGAGGGAGGAAAGGGAATGAAGAATTATTGTGGTTAAATAATAAGCACAAAAATAGTAATTAAAAATGCAGTAATATCAGAACTAGAAAGATCAGGACGATAACTGCAACATTTGTTAGCTATTATTCCCAGGGAGCTGTGTGCTGGTGTTGTAGAGAGACAAGTCCATTTTCCCCACATCTGATAACCAGGAAGGAAAAACATGGCACACTTCTTAAATGTATTTCTCTGCTAAAACTGAGGTTTTAATTATCATGGGCCACAAGTATATGCAATGGTGCTGGTTTTTCCTATGCAGAAAAAATTATAGAATTACATAAACATAGTGGCCACAGATTTAGTTATTTAATGGCTTTGGGCATAAAACCACCCATAAAGTCAATAAAACAATTAACAGGAACAACATCTGAACAATTACATGAAGACAGCCATGAACACGATAACAAGAAAGTGGAAGGGCTTGTATCTCCATTACATTTAAAACCGGGATTTTCTAGTAGGACGAGGAAGGAAATTCATATTTTAAGCAGGTAGAGTTTAACCTAAATGCTTAGTGTGGCAAAGGCAGAAAGTGAAGTTCATTATTTAGACGTAGCTAGGAGAGCAAGTCAGTTTGTGTTAGGAGGAAATGTTTTAAAGGCAAAAGTGAACCTTTTTCAAAAGTTTAGCTCACTCTATAGAGTTCAAAAAGTTATATGTTTCTTCACTTGTACTGGAATTCTGAAACTTATGAGTATTTTTTATACAGTGTGACTTCTCCCCCGGAAAAAAATCATTTAAAAATGCCTTAAAATAGGCATTTACTGACCTTACTTGGTGGTACATGCCTTTAATCCCAGCACTCGACTGGCAGATCTCTGTGAGTTAAATGGCAGCCTGTTCTACAGAGCAAGTTCCAGGACAGGTTCCAAATCAATACAAAGACATCCTGTCTCAAAAAGCCAAAACAAAAAAATGGCATTCACTTAAAACAGAGGAAGTTCTAACTTTGAAAAATCAATGATCTTCATTATTTCCTTGTCTTTTAGCAAATATTGCCACATATAACTATTCACTCTCTGGCCACCAGGTGGCGACAGGCCCTACCATCATGGTATTTCCTGTGTGAATTTAAGACTCTTTGATTCTTTGTTTTCAACATGCTAAGCATCTAGAACATTGTCTAGATGCCACTAAAGATGGACTCTTCTCCAGGCTTCGTGACAGTGATACTCTTCATACTTGGTAAGTAATAGTGATTTAAATTCTTCACTTTTTTTTTTATATCAAAAACATTCTGAGCCCTAAATTCATCCAAGAGCTTTGTCTTTAAGGTGACATACATATCTGTTTTGTTTTTCCTCCAGCAAGGACCAATGGAGACTCGGTGACACAAACAGAAGGCCAAGTGACACTCTCTGAAGGGTCGTCTCTGACTGTGAACTGCTCCTATGAAACCAAACAGTACCCAGCCCTACTCTGGTACGTGCAGTATCCTGGAGAAGGTCCACAGCTCCTCTTCAGAGTCTCAAAGGCCGATGAGACGGGAAGCAGCAGATGTTTTGAAGCTACATATGATAGAGGATCCACTTCCTTCCACTTGAAGAAAGAATCTGTCCAGGAGTCAGACTCGGCTGTGTACTACTGTGCTCTGAGTGACACAGTGGCAGAAACCACAGGGGGAGCCGAACACAAACTCAGCACCAGGGGCCTGGCTGCTGAGCTTCTGCCTCTGGAATCACTTTTGGTTTCTCAGTGTTGTGTGTCTCTCTGTTTGTCTGGGTGGCTCAAAAAATCATTCTTATAGGCCCAAAGGAAGAACAAGAAGTAGAATCTTCCTTCCTCAATGCTTGACGGAGACTAACGTTCAGGCTGTGATACCCAATGTTGCACAGGATTTGTGCATGCCTGAACTGTCAACATGAGCTTTTTGTGGGGCTAGGTCCCAGCTCTCCATACTAGCAATGCTGGTTTCTGTTCAGCATTCTTAACTTCTCAGATGGGGTCCAAGTCTTTCTCAACAGGAAACACACTCCATAGAAAACTTCATAAACCAACTCTACCAACTTCAAGTCTCAGCTCAGGTGTTACTTCTGTGAGGAAACCACAGATTATTCTGGTCTTCCTATGTAAAGAAGTATGATCCTTATTCTGTCCTAGACCTGTTACTCCATCATAGTCCTCCTGTTACTGTCTCATAGTCCCTGCTACACTATCATAGACCCCTTATATTCTAACATAGCGTACCACCTATTCATCATACCCCATCTCTATCTGCATTGTTACCCTCACTTGGAAATATCCTAACTCCTTTGTTCCATTAATATATTCTTCCCCCACCTCTACCACAGTCCTTCCCTTAAACTGCCACAGCTCCCAATTACCCTGCCACACCGCCTTGCTCTATCATCTTTCTCCCTTATTCTACTTATTCCATTACAGCACTATGGTCATCTCGCTAATATTGAGACTAATACAACTCAACTATGCAGTTTGTTATTTGTGACATTGTTTTTCATGTCAGTTGCACCAACTAGAATAAAAATTCTATGATGTCAAGGTGTTGATTCAATTCATAGCAACTTTATTCTTAGCACACAGACTTGTGAATGGTCCACTATAATCAGTTCAGAAATATCCACTGGATGCCTGAGTTAGGAGGCAAACAAGCAAATGTCACTTGACTGTTCTGTCCTTTTTCTCTTCTCTTTAATCCTACCTGAACAACTTTGACTTACTGTGTGATCTCTTCTTGGTTGCATGTTACACTATCATGTTCTAGGAATTTCCATGCACATTTAGATCTAGCCTTCCTATGCTCAGGGACATCTGTCTAATAATTGCATCTACTCAGAATCCCAGCCTTCCTTCACATAACTCAACTCTCCTTAGCAGCTGTAGCCAGAAGGGCTGAATCAAACCCTAATGCAAGTAACCCAATGGAGAAACCTGAAAAAGTAAAAGAAGTTATAATTAAAAGTGGTGAGAAAATCTAAAATAAATCTAAATTTGGAAATGGTGAGTACCTTTTAAATTTTACTTCAAACCAAAGTACGCTAGAAAGGTCCTAGGTAATTGAAGTAATGGTTTTGAGAGACAGTTTATTAGAAGATTCTATTTTTTATATTTTATTTATTTTCTTTCTAACATTAAATATATTTACATCATTTCCCCCTTTCTTTTTCTTCCTCACTTGCCATGGATGTCCCTTTGCTTCCTTAAAATCATAGTCTTTTTATCTGTCATTATTACATGACCAAAGAAACACAGATTCAAACAGATAGAAGGAAACCCACACTCATACACACACACACACACACACACACACACACAGACACACAGAGTCCTTCTACCACATACAATCAAGGTGTTCAGGCAGTGCAGGCAGGTTCAGTGTCTCAGAATCTAAGGAAGAAACCATAGAGTAGCAGAGATGAGCAAATGCCTTGCAGCCACAAACTGAGATTGTTGAATATGACCAGGTCCCTCCAGTTGCTGCCAGAAGCGTTCATCACACAGTCAAGTGCTCATCAGGGACAAACACTAGACATAAACACACAGGACCCAGTGTGGTCCTCAAGCAAGCACCTGTCAAGGCCTCTTTTAAAGCATGGTGAGAGCTCACACACTACTGTCCCTTTCACCAGACTGATTCAGGACAGAGGCTCTGCTTTTCGTTTGGAGGAAGCAGAAAAGCCTATGTCCATATCCCATACCTACCCAGGGTCCAAGTTCTGCCTCCTGATGCTCTCAGGGAAATTGGTTTAGACACCATGACACCCTGAAATTTTAGCCTCCTGAATCCACAAGAGCTTTCTTGACACTATGAGATCAAAGGGTCAGCAGAGAACTGTGATAATGCCTACCTATTGTTCAAATTCATTTTTGTATAACAGTCCAGGATTTCACTCAACTCAATTTGCTCATATTTTATACTCTGTTGCTTAATTGTTGGTTCCTCCAACTTGTCCACCTGCTGGTCTTGCTTAGTGAAGGAGGAGATTGAGATGGTGCCTCCGCAGTAGTCCCTGCAGGTAGATAAAGACAAGTGAAGTGGAATATTTGATTGTCACAGGGCAGGAGACTGTCCTGAGAACCAGGAGAAGCCATAAGAAAAGGAAGTGTTAATGACCCAGTAAATGCCCCAGACAACATGGCAGCTAAGCTCTTGCTGGTGTCCATGAGCTATGTCTCGGACTGCAGAAAGCTTGTATAGACTTTGTGCATCACATGCTGGTTTAGTCCCCTGTGTCTGCAAAGACATAAGCTACCCAAGCCATGTAGATTAGATGGACAGTGTCACCTCATATCTCAGGTTGTACAGGACAGTTTTGTTGTTCCTAGAGGTTAGCAGTACCAAGTTCTGATCACATTTGTCCAGAACAAAACCATCTGAATGTCTGGGTGTTGGTGCTTGACCAGGGGAGTTTCCATCCCTTCTAATTAGCATCAGATTCACAGGGAAAACTGAAGGAACCCACTCAGATGAGCTGCAGCAACACCCCACCCTGAAAGGGATTCCATATTAGTCACAACATTGCTCCTGCTGGTCTACCTTTCCAGTCAGAATGAGGTTAAAAATCTCCCAGAAAAGCAGGTGCAGGGTTGACAGTTCATTTCTGTATTACACTAGCCATCATTTATTCTTGATCTGCTCTGGGGTAACCCAGGGAAGCAGGATAAGCCCATTGCCTCCCAGATGTTGATCCCCACAAATGGAAGGTCTAGCTCAAGTCCAGCTCCTCCAGGAAGCTCCCTTACCAGGATTCATGTGCCTTCCCCAGAACCATTTATTTCTCTGTGTTTTACCCTGAGACCTAAGGTCAGCTTCCTTCTACCTCTCTCTTGTCTATGGACACTGACAGTATACCCCACAGTCACTTGTTGTTCCCAGAGCACCGGTGAAATCACAGGAACCACCAAAGCCTCTCCACAACAAAATAGAATTGTAGAGATGGGACTATTAGGGTCAGCAGCAGCCCTCACCTACCTACTAACTAGATCTTCTACAATTCACTGGAAACCATAATGCCCTTCCTGGGAATTTCCCCAGATACATAAGGAAAGACCTTCACCTCTTCATTACAAAGCCAGTGATCTCTGTCTGTTTTATTAAAATATATTCAATGCTTTATGTATGGATGTTGAAAACTCACTTTTAAAAAGATCCCAGGAAAGGGCTCATGCCTTTCAAGAGCACCATACAGGAGAAATAAAGGATACCAGGTAAATAATTCAGGATGGTGGGGAGGAAAGTTCACTCCCCTGAAGACAACAAGCACTTTGCCTATGATCCACATGGCTGGTACAATATATTGATGTGGTAGGAATATTAGTTGTCCTGTGAGAACAAGGTAAGTCCCATGATGGATGAAAAGTGTCCCAAAACTTCAATAGGACAGAATTCCAGTCATCATAAGTTATCAAATGTGTGATCAACCTGTGACAGGTCACGTTAGAGACACTAATGATGCAGGCTCCTCGTGTGTGCCTTCAACATAGAGCTAACACTCCCATGAAGAGTGGTGGTCCATTCCTGCATTCAAGTATGAGGAAAAATGATTGGCTATTGAAAGGTCACACAGAGATATGCAAAGGCATTTTCAGAATATCAAATTTGTCATACTCATGTGGAGAATATGCAGTATGGCATTGCCATGGTGCTTTACCTATACCTACACAACAGACAAATTCCTTCATAACGAGTCACCTTTTGCAATGTACATGTACTTAGGAAAAGGGACAGAGCCAGCTTAAATTACAATATTCATTGGAGCATGAACAGTTCAAGCAAAGGAGCATCTTTTGCCCTAGATATGTCCCAGAGCTCCACTTCACACTTTTGAATTTCCTAGAAATCCTGAAATGAAAATTTAGCATCATGCTCACTCTAGATAACAAAATTTTTTGGAGTCTGGTGTGGCTTCAAAAGTGTTCTTGGTGAACTCCAGAACAAATGAGTTATGTGGGTTAATCTATGTCCATTCTGATGCTGTGTCACACTGACAACCATGTTAGCAATACCAAATTCTAGAAATCAAAGGACAGCACCTGTCCCAAACACTACCTCATCTCAGTCAAACAGGAAGTAACAGACAGTTGAGACTCTGCCCTAGCAGGTCCTGAAAGTCCAGATATGAGTCTTCCCCACTGTGGGGGTCAATTATTTATATAGTCAGGTAGGTATCTCAGAAGGTACCTGGTTCCTTATAAATCTATGCATCAAGTGACCCAGGTGACAGACTCCTATGGCTTATTCACAGCTGCAGAGGATGTACCTTGGCTTCAGTGCATTCAGCCATGTGCTTTAAGAAGCCCGGAGGTAATTGCTACTGTCAGCCATGGAGAGTTGAATCTCACTTTTTAAGCACTGAGTAAGAATCGTTGTTCACATCCTTAATGTTCATACCCAAAACTGTTATATTAATCAAGGATGTCTAGAGTAATAGCAGTCATAAATGAATCTCTCTATGGAAATGGTATTTGTAAGAATGGCTTACAGTATGTACTCTAGCAAATCAACCAATGGCTGGCTATGAATTGAGAGTTTTAAGAATCCAGTAGTTCCTCCATCCACCCGACCATATGTCTCAGTTTGCTGCAGTATATGCTGAACCCTTAAAGAAGCAGGCTCTAATGCAGGTGAGGAAAAGATGTGCTAATCAGATTGTAAGAGCAGAGAAAGAGGACAACTTTCTTCCATGTCCTTATATATGCTTCCAGCAGAAAGATTGGACCAGATTACAT